CTTATTGATTTCCTCTAAGAGAAGAAATAACAACAACCAGATAGTTATGGAACAATTTTGTATCAACATTGCAAATCGATGAGACGAAAGAAGATCAGATGGTCATGTACAGTTTTATCATTATTACTATTGTTATTATTACTATTTTTGTGTTTATTATTTTCGTGAAGCTTTCGTTAGAAAAAGGCCTATAGGTTTTCTTTAAAAAAATGCATTCAGAAAACAGAGTAGAGAAAAGGGAGAGGAGGGAGCGAATTTCATGTCTTATGTCGCCATTGACAGAAAATACTAGGTATCCATTGTGATGAGAAGAGATGTGGCGAATCGGTTTACACAATTCACGTTTACCCAGATACACAGCCCTGGAGATCATGTCTGGCTTTGCCTACTTGAGCTAAAACAATTGTGTCAGTAAAAACACAATTTTCAAGCGAAAAGACTCTTTTCAACGAGTTTATTATCAAGCTGTACAATAGTATACAGATGGTATTTTTAATATTAAGAGATTATATCCCTTGAGGAAATTTAAACATGGCTGTGAATATATGGAATAATAATAATAGTAGTACGAAATGCAATTAAAATGTTTGTGATTATAATCATAGTTAAACAGCAAGTGTCAGATCAATTAACGTTATATATAAAGTACTTCATAGGATGTATATATGTTAGAAGGGTGTGTGTAATTTAAAGGGTTAGTAGGCAAACATAAAAGGTTACGTAAGTTAATATGATAATTGATAAGATGGAATTCTAGATTGTAAAACAAAATTCTTGATTTCGAATGACAAGTGAAACAAGTCGGCCTAAAACTCTCCTTCCTAAAAGGCCACGGTTACCCAAACCGATTTATAGACAATCCAAACAGGACACTGACTCAGTTTCAAAGAAAACTATATTCATGAATTTGGAATTCAAAGGTGATTAGGCTTCGGATATGCTCAAAAATCGTCTCTCTAAATTAGTTAGTAAGACATTCTTTGCTGCGAAATTACAAGTGACCTTCACCAGCCGTAGGTTGTTCTCCATCTTTGTAGTAAAAGATAAACTCCCTCGTCTAACCGCCTCTATAAACATCTATCAGTTCACCTGCTCTTGTAGACAAAGGTATACTGGCTGTAACCAGAGAACGCCGCTTTTCACACGGACATGTGAACACAAGAGAGAAGGGAAAGGTGTGAGAAGCTCTACTCTAGAACACTTGATCGACTCCTGTCACTCCACCAGCACTGACCGTTATTTTAAGATCATTTATCGAATTCATGCTATTAGTCCTATTATTATGCACCCTTTTCCAACATCTATACACCTTATGAATTATTCTATACATGACATTGATTGTTTTGCCATTTCACATTTAACTATGATTATAATCACAAATATTTTAACTGCATCTCATACTACTACTATTATAATTTTATGCATTCACACCATTGTTTAAAAATCCTCACGGGATATAATTTCTGAATATTAATGAAACCACATATTTACGATTGTAAAGCTTGATAATAAATTCGTTGAAAATGGGGTCTCTTCGCTTGAATATTGTGTTAGTGTCATCAGCTCTAATAAAATAAGTTTAACCCATAGTTTACTGTTTTAATTCAATTTTAGATTTTCCCCGTCGATTGATTGGACCGAAGTGCTCGGTCTCAGGTTGACATGTCGGCTTCTTGAGCAGATGCTTCGACGATGTCTGGGCATTTAATTGGTGGATGGTGACTAGCAGTGGAATCCAGGATGCGCATTTCGTCCTATTTGGGAAGCCGACATGTCAACCTGAGACCGAGCACTTCGGTCCAATCAATCGACGGGAAAATCTAAAATTCAATTAAATAATCAATATGACCCGTTGCACAAGAGGTGGCTCTCGTGGCCCAAGTGGTCTAGTGGACAACGCTTTGGCGTTGGAAACTATGGGCACTGGGTTCGAGCCTCGGTGGGAACATCATCACTCACTGGGAACTGCAGGTACATCCAGATGACGAGTCCTAAATGGGACGAAATGCGTATCCTTGATTCCACTGCTAGTCACCATCCACTAATTACATAGTTTACTGTATTGAAAAACCCATTTCGGATAACTGACTCCTACTAACAACTATCTTGATGATATTATAGACACTTGTACACTTTATCAACAAACAGTACTATATCATAGTAGCTGAATAGTCAGTGGACTTGCCGCCTCTAAGGTGCCAGTGACACAATGGATAGCGGTGTTAGACTTGTATCCCGGAGGTTTTTGGGTTCAAGGCCCGCAGGGAATGTGGGAGATGTTTTGAGTTTAATTCGCGGCTGATACACATTCCTAAACTTCACCTACTTTATAAGCCGATCGTAAGTCTAGAAAACAGGGGGCAGTGAGCATAATGAGCTAGTAATCTCATCCCGTTGAAAAGAAAAAGCTACAACTCCAGCGCTGCCGAAACTATTAAAGCATGGAGCTCTATGTTCCACCCAGAAAGCAAGGAAAGAGACAAAAACTGTTTATGAAACATTTTTTAGAGTTGGGGAAGAGAGAACGGTGTTCAAAGTTAAAAGTAAAAATTTAAAATGAAGTTAAAGACAAGACAACACAAAAGCTTGAAATATTAAGAGAAACTTTTAAATGTAACCTTAGCAATAGTTAAAAAATAAACAGTATGGGTGACTTTAACTGTTTACACACATAAGAATAATACAGAAAGGTTCAGATCAAAATTACTTTGGGAATTGATGTCGCACACGAACCAACAAAATCACTCCGCTCAGCTCTATGTCAACTAAAAAACTCAACAACGAGAGCAGATAAAACCAACATCATCTACAAAATAAATTGCAACAATTGCGAAAAAACACTACATTGGTCAAAGTGGACGACGCCCTCTTCATCTTCGTATCCATGATTATAAACTCGCCGTCGAAAGACATGACATCCACTCCCTCACTCATATCGCCTTACTGCATACAGACAACCACAGACATCAATTCGACTGGGACAAATATTAAACAGAAGAAACACCAAGAATGCTAGAGGATTTTTAGAAGCCAGCCTGGTATTCCAGTGAATTGTCAATTAATAGACACATTGACATAGACAAAATTTACCAATCGATAAGAATGAAATCTCACACACAAAGGGTCAAACTTAAGGTCAAGGAAGAAATCACTCCCAATACAAGTAGCCTAGATGGTGTAGAAACACACAAAAACAACCAATCACGAGGTTCAAGGTCAGGTCACCAGGAAAGATGACTAATAAATTCGTGGAGAAATCTAAAAGCTCACTTCAATAAACTGAAGTATGCTTTGAGGTGATGTTGCCCAGTAGGGGGCAATGAAAGCTTCGCAAATAAACCCTCCAGCTAGCTCAGAGAACACAACTACATCGAAATTTGTCCTCACACTTGACATGGTAAACCTCACTGGTCAGGACTTCTCAGTATAACTACCCCAGACAACTTTGTTCTGTAGTCATTTACTCTAACGAGCTGTCCAGTACTCCCTGCTGGCTTTCAATGATTCTCTAACTGATATCACCAATCCGTGATCGAACTTGAAACAAACCATCATATCCCTACACACACTACATCCTGAAAAGTAGCTATTGAGTAACACTATGTTACTTCATTTCTGGTATCATAATGGTAACAGTGGAAGACTAGAGACTTGATAACGTATTGTATACTTAGAATTTGGTATCTCAATACAAGGAGATTGTGTACACGTTACGTTCAACGTACCATTTGCACAGATCTCCTGTGTTATGCTACTTCCGCCCTTCGAATATTGTGTTTCTTTATCTTCTTTTCATGTCTCCCATGTTATGCCACAACAGTGGTGTTCATTTACTGTCTTTGGCATCAAATCCACCTTTCGGTTATTTGATGTTTTTATGCCAATGGAAGTCGCTTTATATACTACTGGTAAATGTTATCAGTAGCACTGCCACGTCACATTTCTTCAAGTGTCACTATACACTAAAATGTGTGCATATTAAAATAGTTTTACTTGCATGAACAATCTATTTATTATATGCAGAATTTTAATAAAACATTAAATAAAGTGACCAATTTTAATCACTCACATTGAATCAGATAAAAGAAAGAAAGAAAGAAAACACAATAGCCATAAAATGTTTGTTTATTGTTTATCTAAGGTTACTATGACAACAAGAATAACGACAACATGAAAGACGACCCTGCACATCGACTATTTCATTAAGCAATCAATATAAATAACAAGAAAAATGTCCATTGACATTATTATTATTATTACATTATACGTGTTTACAAATCGATACAATTTCTTCTTGATGATGATAAAATCCTGTAACCAATCAAATCCTTGCGAACCGACACTTGAATAGTTATCTGATGCACACTAGAGACTGGTCCTATTCAGGTAGGTAGGTAGGCAGTTACCTGGGTTCTAGTGGGATGTTGTGACCAGTGGAGTACAGCAGGTTGCGTGTGAGGACAAATACTCATCATTGGTTAGTGCCAGGCGCGCTATATCATGAACTGGACGAAGCTGGAATTCGTGACCTAGCCATTGGTTCGGCTCCTAGTAACCTAATGGTCTATGACCTCTCCTCATAATCAGAAGGTCCTGGGTTTGAACCACTGAAGAGTCTTTAACTAGGACGAAACAGGTGTATAGGATTGTCAGATTTTCCAGTGGTTCTATAATCGATGTTAGCTCATGATGAAACTCTGTAATTTCTTTTTGGTCGATAATAATCTTAACATAATAGTCACTTTAGAACTCCAAACAATGGATCATACCAAACTAGGATGAAACAGCTGTCCAGTACTCCCTGGTTCTCTAACTGATCAACTCGTGCTAAGATAATGACAGCTCATCACTATCATATTTCGTGTAAAAAAAATGTATATAAATGCGATTGTACGTACAGCTTAAGAGAGAAATGAATTCGACACAAAAAGAGCCTCTTTGCTGAACAACACTTGAATAAGGAACCAATAACATGATTAAAAAAGAACCGTCTAACTTACATTCATTGTCAGTTAACTCAGGATTACGTAATAGTTGATTTTCTGTGTGTTTTTGTTGTTGTGGTGGTGGTGATGGTTGTTCTTCATCAACTAAAAATTTCTTCGAACCCTCCTCCTCCTTCTCATCGCCGTCATCTTTCACTTCAACACGATTTAACATTCCAACTAGAAGATCTAATTCAGCAGATCTTTGTTTCTTTTGAATAGTATTCAATAGACATTGATCATTATTTGATGGCTTCTTATTTATATGCGATAAGAATCCTCCAGCATTAAATGATTTCTCCTCATTTTCATCATCATCATCGTCGTCGTAATTTAATTGACCACCACCACTCTGTTGTATCATCACATTGCCTTTTTGTGCCGGCGGCGGCTTATTTCTATCATTATTCATTAACCTGGAAAATGATAACCATTCAGGTGAACTATCCCGATCACTATAACTTGAGTCGCCACCGCCACCACCCAGCGCTTGACTTAACACACTACGATTTCTCCATGGTGAATAGATCAACGGTGTTGTTGAAGCAGCGACTGTTTGCCGATATCTGGTAAAAGATTTATTCAGCATAACACTAGATGATGATGATGATACATTGAATGATGAAGTCGATAAATTATGCGTAGATGTACTAGCTGTGACTTCTGTAAATGATTGAATAGCATTTGAAGAATTTGAGGTAGTAGTTGTAGGAGGAGGGGGAGGAAGAGGAGTAGAAGTGCCAGTCTTAGTACTAGTTGTCGCTGCTGGATCAGTCTCAATTACATCATTATTTTCATTAGACATTGGTAAAGGTGATACAACTTGAGTTTGTGGTGGTGGCGGTGGTGGTGTATCATTAACTGCAAGGACATAATCTTCACAAAATAAAGGACTAATTAAATGTCCTGTTCTATTGAAGCGTGATGATGATGATGATACTGATGATTTATCAGTGTCAACAGATTGTGGAGTGATGACACTGGTAATACAAAAAGATAAATAAAAAAAAAACGGAAGATAAATATACAGCGACTTTTTTGAAGAAAAAAACAAAACAAGCAACAACAACAGTTTCGTCTTAGTTAAAAACTCTTCATCGGTAGTCAACACACCCACGACATCATCCATCGAGAATCGAACCCAGAACCTTTAGGCTACGAAAGCAAACCCTCTGACTATTCAATCATTTGATTGGAGCCCGAAAAGGGTGACACGGGTTCGAATTCTAGAGGGGATATGAGTTCTTTAAAGCCTGAAGAAACGCCATGCTGATGAGAGCTGACAAGTACGAAATCAACCATTTAATAATAATGAGGTCAGGATAGCGTGGGTGGATTGGGGCTGAGTAATAATAAAATTGAATTGAAAGCAAACTCAATGAATTTATGCTAAAAGTGTACCTCCCCTATCCAACCTTAGAAGAAAAGATGTGTGTACTACTACAGAGAATGGTTGTGAGACATAGGCACTGAAAGTAGAAGATACGAAAAGGTTAGATATTTTTATTAACAGATGTTTGCGTTCTAACTCCTGATTTGAGTGGCATAATAAGATGAGAAATATTGAGGTTAGGTGTAGAAGTTAAGACGTGTGTTGCACATGCCTAGGCGCTGATTTCCTCGTCAGTCAAGCAATATTAGCTAACATATGACTAGGGTGGTCAAATCAAACATGGAACGAAATCAATCCGTGAAGTATTTGAGCCACATTAAGAGATGCGAACTATCTGATTAGAAAGAACTAATCATTAGTGTTTCCCACGGCACAGATGTATCCACCTTTTTATGAACTCCTATTTACATTAAATTTTTATTATTCCTCATGTAATCACATTTTTTTGACTATTTTTACTATTAATTTTACTGCATTTTTTCTTCTGCCTTTATGTACGTGCGTCGGTGGCACAGTGGTTAGGACTCTCGCCCACCATGCATATGGTCCGGGATTCGATCCCCTGCCGACGCCTGCAAAATTCGGGCTACCGATATCACATGCTGAAAATTCCATACCTGTACCAAAAAAATACGGTGTGGAATCAAGCTGTAAGGAAAAAAATAAAATAAAGGGGAGGGGTGGGTGGGAGAGGGGCGACAACATGAGCTGAGGAACTTCTCTATGCAAAGTTCTACATTGAAAGTGCAGTTAAATTTCACAGCATCTTTGGATTAAAAGTAGTCTCTCAGTGTACTTAAAACAATAGGTTTGGTTTCTAACATCTTTTTTTCCTTCATTCCTCTGCATTTCGAGGGGAACGAAGGGCTCCAAATTTCAGTCTTGAAGTTTTACTAGACATAATGTTTTCTTTACAGAGTAGAGTTGTGCTAATGTTACATGCAATCCCATACCCTCTTTACCAGGATCACTACAAGCTACCTGAGGCCTAGAAGTGAGTAGACGCGCTGATTCGAACTCAGATCGAGTACCTCCAAACCATCGACACTCAATATAAGGTATCATGTACATAATTGTAGTAAGCAGTGACTACATATAAAACTATACAGATTGTAGCTATTGTGTGATATCTTTATTTCGACGGGAGAAACTTACGCAGATTGTCGAAGTGACTTATCCACTGATTCACACAATTGTAAGGAATCACGACCTAAGTAGAAAAAGAAGAAGAAACAAAAAGGAATATTCTAGAAAAACAAACAAACGTAATTAACACATTGTTACTTTTCAGCTACAAGGTCACATTTTATTTAACACCTTGGTATTACATGTAAGAATGTATGTACATCAACAGAATTCACTTAACCCCACGTTTTGTCCTGTTCAGCTATCATCATCAGAAAAGGTTTCTTTGTATTCTTGGAAGAAACTCATATTGATTCTGTGGTAGAAATCTTCGAAAGTTTCAAGTGCGATTCGCCGATTCCCATCAAATGTAAGATGATGTTACAGGACTGAACTACATCGGCTCATTCCTGGGTAATGGATAGACACGAGTGAAATGGTTGGTGGGGCGTGTTGACCACTTACTCAACTTATTTGTGAAACTGCATCAGCCAACACTAGCGAGGTTAACATGGTCGGTAACGAAATCTCAGAACGGATATAGAAGGCTCATTTGGCATTTGACTGCCAACTTACGCCATCTTTGGCTCAATAGACGTGATATCTGACTGACTGTCGACCAAAGGATGTATGGTGTGTATTGCTCAGCAGTTCACAATGTCCTCCTTGATAGCTGTTAGCAAGATATGGGCGTTGAAACTGAAAGACATGAAAAGCCTGACTAGCTGTCTTTGATCATAGGTAGGTGTCTGCGTTCTATCTCCGGTGGTAGGTGGCGTAAAAGGGTTAGTAACATTGCGGTGAGGCCTCAGTCGATTGAGTGCTAGGTAAGGAGAGGAAATCAATCTACGAGGTTGTGAAGCAGCTGCATCAATTGAAATAGTTAGGACATGTGCTACACATATTACGAATGTCTAGCCATCGCCTGACTCGACAGGCACTGTCAACTGACTGACTCGACAGGCACTGTCAACTGACTGACACAGGATTGATCAGGTTGGAAAAGAGAGAGCTAGTGGTGGTCAACCCAAAACATGGCTTCATCAATCAGTCAATGAAATCCACAACAGTTAGTTTAAGCCTGCCAGTCAGCCACGTAGGGAGGTGTAGACTGGTTGACTGACTGCTTGGGGTTGCCGGGATGGTAAAAACCATTGACAGCTGACAACAATTGGTGATATGGCTCAAAATTTTCGTTGTTAATGATGACACAGATGCATTCACTCTTTGTGACTTATAAAATTCTATTGTTCTACTATATTACTATTCTTTTTTCCCTCACTCACTTCTGTCTATCATCTCTCTTTTGTTGCATCTCACTTTATTCACTTGTCTTCTTTTGTGTGGTACATGTAGAGAGTGTAGCAAGTCGAACTAAATGGTACACATCTGTGCAAAGTGCTACATTGAAATCAGTCAGTCAGTCAGTCATGGTAAGGGTGCTAGGTCTACGACCAAACTCCCCTTTATTTACGGGCTTTGAAACTATAAGTAAACTAGTGATCTACTACACTAGAGGAGGATTTTAGTAATCTAGGGAAATCTAGGAATGAACCAAACAAAGGTAGCATGAATGCGATAGCATGAGAAGGAGACGAAAGCTTATGACTGACTGTGGAACAAGCTAACAAAGATTTCGGAGAACTAGGTGAAATGGAGATGTGCTGCTGAAGGCCTATGTCGCATTCAGGAAACACAAGTAAATAGCAATAATATGTTGTGTGTCTAACAAAACGTTTCCCAGAACTTAGATTTAAATGTTGACGTGTCCTGAGATACTGAAAAACTAGATATTGTGAGTCCAAACGGCCACACCAGTTACAAGCTCGGTCTCAAAACCAAGCGAAGTAGCCATCTGATGATGGTTAGATCACTTTGATCTGGCTAGCCAACAAGCACTAGTCTGATTGACTTTTGAGTGGTGTCCTACTACTTATATCTATTGATCAAACAATCAGTAGTATAAAGCGTCATGCATCAATTCGTGCTTTCTTGGTATTTATTATATCAAAATAGATCAAATATTGTGATTTCAAGTTCAAATGCTGAGACTGCATATCACGAATTTCAACCTCGACCAGGAATTCACTTCAATTACAAAACTATTGAAAACTCTCAACGAGTACTAGAAAGCTACTTCGTCCTCGTTCGAGACTCATCATGAGTAAGCACCCATCATACTACCACAACAAATGATCGAACTCAATACCTACATGTTGTAAGGTGAGCTCTGAGACGGAATCCTATGGCTTGTCAATTCTTACTTTTGCGAATTGGCGATAGATATCACACGACCGCCAACCAATGTCAACGGTTAGTATTTGTCGTCGCTCACAACTTTGTGCCTCCCCAGCCCCCCCCCCCCACTGATCACACCTTTACATTAGTAACTTAGACAACTCTATATCCTGTAGCCAGTTAATTGTGAGCAAAGTCGTAGAAGTTAGAATTGACAAACCATTTGAATCTATCCACGTGGCTGGATGGTTAACAGGTTGGTCCTTAACCACTCAAAATCCCTAGGTTCGATTGCCGTAATACTACTCATGGTTGTGTACTGATGGTGAGTTCCAAACAAAAGCGAAACAACACTCCTTTTTGGATATCAACGATTCTTGAACTGAAATCGATCACACACACTCACACCCCTACAAACGAACACTTCCAAGTGAAGAGTTCATTTGCAAATTATGAATTTGGTATCACATGACAGATTCACAAAAAGCTAAAAAGAAACTGAAACTAAAGTGTTATGATTACTATTATTATCATCATCAATATTATGGAACTTACTTTGTGAAGAGATATTACTGAATGGATCAAAATTCAAGATGATTGAATTATTGTTGACATTGTTGTTGTTGTTGTTAACGATTGAACGACGTATTGATTTAGCCTGAAAATTAATTCACAATTGAAAATAAAGATCATCAAAGTGTTGTCGTTGTTTGTTTTGTTTTTTTTTTTGGTATCAAAGGCAAGCAACGAAGATCGCTGAAACAGGCGAGCTCGACGATGTTGAAACTTTTATTCATTTAGAATAAAAGTGCTTGTGACGCACTAAAGGGGTTGACTTATATGATATACTTTTGATCCTCAATTTTTGTGGAATTTATCTAATTTTAGTTGATATTCTATTTTTTTTTAAGAGTTGATCACGGATAGATATCAGATAAAGAACCATTGAAGACCAGGGAGTGCTGGATAGCCAGCTGTTTCATCCTAGTTTGGGAATCATCGGCAGTACGCACCAACCTCACAGGAGGTTCGAACCCAAGACCTTCCGGCTACAAGGCGAGCTAGCTCGTAGACCATTAAGCCACTGGGACCCGATCCAATGACCCATGAATTCTTATTTCTGCCAATTAACGATATAGCGCAACCACTAGCCAATGTCTTCGGCGAGTAATTGTCCTCACACCCGACCTGCTGCACCCTGCTGGTCACGACTTCCCACTAGAATCCCAGGTAACTACCTACCTGGATAGGGCCAGTCGCCAGTGAGAATCTTATTGATATTCGAGTATTGGTTTGTAGGGATTTGGTTGATTGGAGTGGAATCCAGGATGCATACAATTCGTCCTACTCAGGACTCGTCAACTGTTGGATGTATCTGCAATGCTGCCAGTAGAGTGATAGTGTGTACCCGATGAGATCCGGACCCAGCCGCACCCAGCGCATTTTTACACACAATTAGTAGTAATTGATGCATCTATAGTCAAAGCGAGCCAGCAAGTCAACTGAGACAGAACATTTCAAGTCTCCAGTATAATCAATGAACGGAAAAATTTAAAAAATAAAATTTCTTTTTAAAAATATAATTTATATGTCTCACCTTCTCATTGGTGGTCATATGTTCTAGTTCATCTAACATACTCAAGAAGTGATTATCATTCATAGGACATTCGATATTCTCAATCTCTGCTTCTTCGTTCATATTCACAATAAATTCATCTAAAAATGTATAGCAATAATAATTATCCCCATTATTAATTAATATTAGAACAAGACATATATAAGCGAACAGTATTGTTGTTTTCAATTAGATCTTCTTCAGGCTTTACTCTAATTTACATAGATTTATGTGTAAAACATTTAACCAATGATGGTAAATTTGTGTACTAAACTATAATAGTAATGATAATGTGTTAAATGTTTTAACGTCAGTAATAACGATGATTATAATGATAACAAAAGTAATGATAATAAGGTTTATGCAGGTGGTGATAAGAATAACGAAGGTAGTAATATGTATGAGCATATGTAGACAATCCAATAAATAAATAAGTTAGGACGAATCTTAAATGTTACGTAATACTAAAGGTACGTGAAGTGGACACGAAGGAAATGAAAAATAAGAAAGCGTGGGAGATTTTTCCTTAATTACACTTTACCTATGCCAAGGGCGGGGACAAACGCAGAACAAACTTCTTTTGTTGTATGCAAAGACAATAGGATTGTTCTCTTGAATTACTTCCCATAGCTTCGGCTATGCATTTAGCAGGCGAATTCGAATTCCGTTAGAAAGGCTCGATGGAATGCGATAGATAACCTTGTAGGCACTAATTCTGTCCACATGGTGACCACCTTCATGAATCAAATGAGTCAAAATGGAACACTCTGAGTGATGGGGAAACATGTCTAGCCACTATTGCCAACCAGGACAGCTGTAAAACCCCTGAACTGATATCTGATCCCAAACGAAAACTGATACCATGACGGGGTGTTTGTTCTCCTATGCCACGGTAAACCAATAAACTACACTGACTGGGACTTATATGCCTTCAGGTAATACATGGTTGTGTCTAAGATACTGACTGCTTTCTTGTTTCGCAGACTGTGTAAAACATGTGAGGAGTTGATTCGCGAAAAGAAGGCTGGATCTTATTCAGGCTGTGGATGTATTGATCGCGTGTTCACGCTTTGTCAGTTGCATTACAGGCCAACAATCGTTGTGCTTATTGATATTAGCGCAGTCTTCGAGTTGTTCAACAGAACTGTTCTCTGGAAATATCTGTTGTTAGAGAGGGGTGTGTACCTGAGTAGCGTGTTAACATCCTGAAAGCCTTAAACAGATATGCTTCAGGTAGAGTGAGGGCATACAAACATACAATTGCACAATTAACATTGAAGAACTTACTATCTGCTGTATTTTCCATGGACTGAACAGGCTGACCACTTTCTGCCTCTTGGGTAACAACAACATTGTTATCTCTGATATAAAGAAGAGAAGACGACAGTGGTTATGATACACCTCCGGGGTTAACAAATACTCACGAAAAGCATACAAATGAAACAAACTATTTGAAATTTAATTGGCTTTACAACTACTCACGCAAGAAGCATTTCTCTCTCTATGTGTAAATCATCAAATGAACAGAATTTTACATAACAGAGAGAAGAGAAATACCTTCCAGGTGGATAATTTTGATCTGGTTGCTTTGTCTAATCTGAATGGTTGTCTAATTGTAAGGCTTTCATGGTCTCCTCCTAGACAGTATCCTTTCAGCTCAAACTAGATGCTGAAGATGTTAATTAGAAGGGCAATGAAAGCTTTGCAACTGAACCACCTAGTTCAGAGAACGCAACCACAACAAATTGTTACACACATTCACAGGCTAAGAGATGAATACGATAAGGAATATGATGCACTACCACTCACCTAGCCAATGAAATAAATCGCTGTACAGATACAGAAGAAAATGAAACTATTATTGGAGACACTTTTAACTTACGTAGACATGTGAATAGGAAACGATGACAACAATCAAAAGAGCAACAAACATACAAGTTACATGTTTGATAGAGGTACCTGCTAAAGAGCCGCTGGTGGTCAAACCGAAACATGGATTCATCAATCAGTCAATGAAATCCACAACAGTTAGTTTAAGTCATGTAGAGAGGCGCATAATTCCTGGTTGGGGTCCCTGGGACGGTGAAAACCAATGAAGGCTAGAGGCAATTGGTGATATGGCTCAAAATCGTTCTCAATGGCTGGTTGGCGCAGATGCATCCACTCTTTGTGACTTATAATTTCCCATAAAATTTTATTGTTCTTCGTTTTACTATTCTTTTTGCCTCATTTCTCTGTTTTGGGTTTTTTTTTCAACTTTCTTCTCTTGCTTCATGTGCTATATGGAGTGTGGCGACTTGAACTGGTGCACATCTGTGCAAAGTTCTATGTTGAAACCAGTCAGTCAATCAGTTAATACACATTCACACCCAATCCTCACTCTTTACCGGGATTACTAACAGCTATCTGAGTGCGTAAGCGGGAGTTATCGTGCCCATATAAGATTCATGTTTGCCGAAGATTCCACCGCTGAACTATCGACGCGATCTCTGAAGTTACATGTACATAATTGTAGTAAGCAGTGACTACTAATAAAAACCTCATAAGTTGTAGCTATTGTGTGATATCTACATTTTGACAGAGGGAACTTACACAGATTGTTGAGGTAACTTATCGACTGATTCACACAATTCTAAAGAATCACGATCTAAGTAGAAAAAGAAGAAGAAACAAGAAGGATATTTTAAAACACAAAGAAGACGTACCAACAAGGAAAAAAACAAAATGCACAATCAAAACGCTATTGACACAACATTGTTATTTTTAAGCTACACAATGAGATTTGCTGTACTACATTGGTATTACATGTAAGTAAATCAGAAGGAATCTTTGAAAATCCGAAGTTTTGTCCTTATCAACACGCTCATCAGAGTAAAAGTCTGTTTGTAACCTAGAAGAAACTCACATTCCTTTCGTGATTTACTTAAACATTCGTCATTCAGAATGACAAAGTCAGAGGTTTAAACAGGTACATACAGTAAGTGTTGCGAAATCAGTATAAGACACTTGAAAGTAATGCTGAAGGTAGAAGGCGCTTTAAAACAATAATAATAATAACGGCAATAATATACAGGAGCACCCCTCCCCCTTACATTTAGCATCAATAATCAGCGAATTCAGCTCCATGTGTGTTACCAATTCACCTAAGGAGTGTGTTAGTTAGCCGGAATTCAACTGAAACTGTCAACCGGTGTTTAGATCAAATAATTTGAAGAATGAAATTCGTAACTGGCAAATTATTATTATTATTACTTTTTCGGGATTGGTGATTTACACAATTCAGTTAGCAGGCGCACTAAACCAGTTGATGTGAGTCGTGCACGGAAATACTCATGTCAATCAATCAGTACTATATATGCAACACCATTCACATTCAAGTTTACTTCCATTATCACCAACTTTAAGTTATCTAGTAGATCTCATACACTGTGGTCTCAATAACTTCGATTCGCGTACTGCTGGAGAGTCCCAAACTAGGACGAAACAGCTGGCTGTCCAGTACTCCCAGGTTTTCCAGTGGTTCTCTAACCGATGTCAGCTCACAATGAAATCCTCCAACCAATCAGATAAATTCCCTACAAACCAATACTTGAAAATTTCGATTTGCGTAAGAAGCTGTGGCTTAAATTCTACCTTCTCTAACCATGTGAACTGCAAACTGAGAATTCGGTATCAGTGAAAGATTATTATTATTATTATTATCACTACTGAACTTACTTTGTGAGACATTACTGAATATATCAAAATTCAGAATGATTGAATTGCTGTTGTTGTTGGTGGTGGTGGTAGTGATGTCATCAATTGAACGACGCACTGATTCAGTCTATAAAATTAATTCGAATGAAAGTGAGAATCAAAGTGATCGGTGCACCCAAAGGCGAGAAGAGAAAATAAAGGTGAGAAGCGAACATCATCACATTAATGCAGGCGAGCATACAAAAGACCAAGACAAAAAAAAGTCAAAATGTGTAACGGATATAAAATTGGCAAATGACAGCAATTTTTTTCTCTGAATGATGGTAAAGTTTGCTTTAATGTAAACTATATAAATATTATCAAATAGGATAGAAGATGCCTATTGAATATTTACTGATATTCAAGCAGTTTTCCAAAAAGGATGACGTTCAGGATTTACACTAGGTGATTGGGGTCTATAGGCAGGAAACCCTAGCACACCTATCTTTCATGCTTGTTAGAACTTGTATGCAAGGCTTATCTGTAACCTAGAAGGTATTGATATTGCATCTGACATTTCAACCCACGTGAACAAGTGCTGCAGTCAGAGAGAAGCAACTACTGGGATATTCGAGTTCGACAATGACCTCGTGTAGATCTGTAATGGATATGCTGATTGGTCACTAGGAAATAATCATCAATGTCATTGTATCTCACGGACAAGACACATTGGAGAGACAATTTGCAGATCAACAATTCAGTGCTCTTCTAGTAACGATAGACTTCACGAAGAGCGTCAGTCCCAGGCCTGTATCTGCGTGGTTTGTGAACGCCACCAGTAGCTGGTGCGCTTTTACGGGCAGCCTTGATGGCTAGCTGCTTCTTTGGGGCCTTTCCATCAGTAGACTTACAAGCAGTTTGCTTTGTACGAGCCACAGCGAAACACCGAGAGACGATGACAATGCATCGAGTCCTTGGTATTGGTGCTGACCATTACCTATGAGTCAAGTCCACATATTCAGATATCATTCAGCTACAGCGCCTCTTTCTATTGTCTTCTGATAACATTCCATTGAAAGTGTAAATTGTTTCTCTATGAAATTTGTCTGTCTCACTGTCATCTTCACTGACATTTCAGACTTTATCATTTTTATTATTCGCTTGGGTTTCAATTGGAACATAGAACTTCAGTAGCACATCACCACGTCACTCTGTCCTCTGAGACTCTTTCCATCTGCTACCAAGATTTCCCATAATCTCTTATCTTCTCTTCACACAATTTCCTTCATGACACCGTCGAACCCAAGCCCAACTCATCATCGTCTCCCGTTTGGTTTCCACTCGACGGTCTGGTGCACGATGTCACTCAAAAGTTTTCTCAGTGTATCTCTGATCTGCCTTGCAGTCAGCGTTCAAAAAATCTTAATCCTGTTCCTTATGCTCAGAATCCAGTAGATTCCCACATTGACTTCACACTAATGAAGTCCAGTTTTGTTTTTCCGACCCTGAATGACTTTGACATCCTCATCCATATCGCCACCTGTAGTTGAAACGATACTGGTTGGCTGCTGAATAAGGCTGATAAAAGTTTGAGACAGTCCACTGTGTCGAAGCAGTTTTCCAAATTACTTCACCGTCGAGACTATCGAAGGCCTTTTCAAATTCGATGAAGTTGAGGCACAAATTTGACTTATTATTGTAAGGACTAATAAAGCCAATAACCAAGATTAAATTACATGTGAGGGTAGAATTCGAACTCACGAACCATTGGTCAAAAGTCAAATGTTAAATCCAATCACTTATAGGCAATATTATTAAATTTATCACTGTAGCGACAAAAAAAAGATTAACACAGTAAAATACAGGATAACAAATCGCGATAATGATAATAATAAAAATAATTCATTTCTCACCTTCTTATTCGAGGTCACCTGTTCCATATGTTCTAACATACCCAATAAGTCATTATCACTCATAAGACACTCGGAATTCTCAACCTTTTCTTCTCCCATCATATTTGTAATAAGTTCATCTAAAAATGTATAGCAATAATAATTATCCCCACTATTAATTAATATTAGAACAAGACATAATAAGCGAACAGTTTTGTTGTTTTCAATTAGATCGTCTTCTTCAGGCTCTACTCCAGTTTACTTAGATTTATGTGTAAAACATTTAACCAATGATGCTAAATTTGTGTACTAAACTATAATAGTAATGATAATGTGTTAAGTATTTTGAACTTCAGTAATAACGATGATTATAATGATAACAAAATAATGCTGATAATAAGGTTTATGCAGGTGGTGATAAGAATAACGAAGGTAGTAATATGTATGAGCATATGTAGACAATCCAATAAATAAATAAATTAGGTCAACTCTTAAAAGTTACGTAATACTAAGGGCAGGCGAAGTGGACACGGAGGAAATGAAAAATAAGAGAGCGTGGGAGATTTTTCCTTAATTACACTTTACCTATGCCAAGGGCGGGGACAAACGCAGAACAAACTTCTTTTGTTGTATGCAAAGACAATAGGACTATTCTCTCGAATTAATTCCCACAGCTTCGGCTATGCATTTAGCAGGCGAATTCGAATTCCGTTAGAAAGGCTCGGTGGAATGCGATAGATAACCTTGTAGGCACTAATTCTGCGCACTTGGTGACAACCCTCATCAATCAAATGAGTCAAAATGGAACACTCTGAGTGATGGGGAAACATGTCTAGCCACTATTGCCAACCAGGACAGCTGTAGAACCACTGAACTGATATCTGATCCCATCCGATAACTGATACCTTGACGAGGTGGTTGGGCTCGTATAACACAGTGAACCAATAAACTACACTGACTGGGACTTATATGCCTTCAGGTAACACGTGGTTGCATCTAAAATATTGACCGCTTTCATGCTACGCAGTATGTGTAAAACATATGAGAAGCTGATTCGCGAAAAGAAGGCTGGATCTTATTCAGGCTGTGGATGTATTAGTCGTGTGATCACTTTTCCTCAGTTGTTGGAACACTGTCACACGTATTACAGGCCAACAATCGTTGTGCTTCTTGATATTAGCGCAGTCTTCGAGTTGTTCAACAGAACTGTTCTCTGGAAATATCTGTTGTTAGAGACGAGTGTGTACCTGAGGAGCGTGTCAACATCCTGAAAGCCGAAAACAGATATGCTTCAGGTAGAGTGATGGCATACAATCATACAATTGCACAATTAACATTGAAGAACTTACTATCTGCTGTATTTTCCATGGACTGAACAGGCTGACCACTTTCTGCCTCTTGGATAACAACAACATTGTTATCTCTGACATAAAAAAGAGAAGACGACAGTTGTTATGATACACCTCCGGAGTCAACAAATACTCACGAAAAGCATACAAATAAAACAAACTATTTGAAATTTAATTGGCTTTACAACTACTCATGCAAGGTGTATTTCTCTCTATGTGTAAATCATCAAATGAACATAATTTTACATAACAGAGAGGAGAGAAATACCTTCCAGGTGGATAATTTTGATCTGGATGCCTTGTCTAATCTGAATGGTTGTCTAATTATAAAGCTTCCATTGTCTCCTTCTAGAAAGTATCCTTTCAGCTCAAACTAGATCCTGAAGATGTTAATTAGAAGGGCAATGAAAGCTTCGCAAATCAACCACCTAGTTCAGAGAACGCAACCACAACAAATTGTTATACACATTCACAGGCTAAGTGATGAATACGATAAGGAATATGATACACTACCCACTCACCCAGCCAATGAAATAAATCGATGTACAGATACAGTCGAAAATGAAACTATTATTGGAGACACTTTTTAACTTACGTAGACATGTGAATAGGAAACGATGACAACAATCAAAAGAGCAACAAGCATACAAGTTACATGTTTGATAGAGGTACCTGCTAAAGAGCCGCTGGTGGTCAAACCGAAACATGGATTCATCAATCAGTCAATGAAATCCACAACAGTTAGTTTAAGTCATGTAGAGAGGCGCATAATTCCTGGTTGGGGTCCCTGGGACGGTGAAAACCAATGAAGGCTAGAGGAAATTGGTGATATGGCTCAAAATCGTTCTCAATGGCTGGTTGGCGCAGATGCATCCACTCTTTGTGACTTATAATTTCCCATAAAATTTTATTGTTCTTCGTTTTACTATTCTTTTTGCCTCATTTCTCTGTTTTGGGTTTTTTTTTCAACTTTCTTCTCTTGCTTCATGTGCTATATGGAGTGTGGCGACTTGAACTGGTGCACATCTGTGCAAAGTTCTACGTTGAAACCAGTCAGTCAATCAGTTAATACACATTCACACCCAATCCTCACTCTTTACCGAGATTACGAACAGCTATCTGTGTGCGTAAGCGGGAGTTATCGTGCCAATATAAGATTCATGTTTGCCGAAGATTCCACCGCTGAACTATCGACGCGATCTCTGAAGTTTCATGTACATAATTGTAGTAAGCAGTGACTGCTAATAAAACCTCATAAATTGTAGCTATTGTGTGATATCTACATTTTGACAGAGGGAACTTACACAGATTGTTGAGGTAACTTATCGATTTGTTCAGACAACTGTAAGGAATCACGATCTAAGTAGAAAAAGAAGAAGAAACAAGAAGGATATTTTAAAACACAAAGAAGACGTACCAACAAGGAAAAAAACGAAATGCTATTGACACAACATTGTTATTTTCAACCTACACAATGAGATTTGGTGTACTACATTCGTATTACATGAAGGTAAATCAGAAGGAATCTTTGAAAACCCCAAGTTTTGTCCTTATCAACACGCTCATTAGAGTAAAAGTCTGTTTGTAACCTAGAAGAAACTCACATTCCTTTCGTGATTTACTTAAACATTCGTCATTCAGAATGACAAAGTCAGTGGTTTAAACAGGTACATACAGTAAGTGTTGCGAAATCAGTTTAAGACACTTGTAAAAATAGTGAAAGTAAAAGGCGCTTTAAAATAATAATAACAATAATACGCAGGAGTACTCCCGTCCATTCCAGTTAACATCGATAAACAGTGAATTCAGCTCCATGTGTGTTACCATTTCACCTAAGGAGTTGGTTAATTAGCCAGAATCCAAGTGAAATTGTCAACCGGTGTTTAGATCAAATAATTTCAAGAATGAAATTAGTAACTGGCAAATTATTATTATTATTTCAGGATTGGTGATTCACACAATTCGGTTAGCTGGCGCACTAAACAGAGTTGATGTGAGTCGTACACGCAAATACTCATGTGAATCAATCAGTACTATATGTGCAACACCATTCACATTTAAGTTTGCTTCCATTATCACCAACTTTAAGTTATCTAGTAGATCTCATACACTGTGGTCTCAATAACTTCGATTCGCATACTCCTGGAGAGTCCCAAACTAGTTGGACGAAACAGCTGTCCAGTACTCCCAGGTTTTCCAGTGGTTCTCTAACCGATGTCAGCTCACAATGAAATCCTCCAACCAATCAGAGAAATTCCCTACAAAGCAATACTTGAAAATTTCGATTTGCGTAAGAAGCTGTCGGTTAAATTCTACCTTCTCTAACCATGTGAACTGCAAACTGCGAATTCGGTATCAGTGAAACATTATTATTATTATCACTACTGAACTTACTTTCTGAGACATTACTGAATATATCAAAATTCAGAATGATTGAATTGCTGTTGTTGTTGGTGGTGGTGGTAGTGATGTCATCAATTGAACGACGCACTGATTCAGTCTATAAAATTAATTCAAATGAAAGTGAAGATCAAAGTGATCGGTGCACCCAAAGGCGAGAACAGAAAATAAAGGTGACAAGCGAACATCATCACATTAATGCAGGCGAACATAAAAAAGGCCAAGACAAAAAGGTCAAAATGTGTAACAGATATAAAATTGGCAAATGACAGTAATTTTTCTTCTGAATGATAGTAAAGTTTGCTTTAATGTAAATTATATAAGTATTCTCAAATAGGATAGAAGATGCCTATTGAATATTTACTTATATATTCAAGCAGTTTTCCAAAAAGGATGACGTTTAAGATTTACACTAGCTGATTGCGGTCTATAGGCAGGAAACCCTAGCAGACCTAGCTTTCATGCTTGTTAGAACTTGTGAGCAAGGCTTATCTGTAACCTAGAAGAGATTGATATTGCATCTGACATTCCACCCCACCTAAGCAACAAGTGCTGCAGTCAGAGAGAAGCAACTACTGGGATATTCGAGTTCGCCAATGACCTCGTGTACATCCATAATGGATATGCTGATTAGTCACTAGGAAGTAATCATCAATGTCATTGTATCTCACGGACAAGACACATTGGAGAGGTAATTTGCGGATCAACAATTCAGTGCTATTCTAGTAACGATGAACTTCACGAAGAGCGACAGTTCCGGGCCTGTATCTGTGTGGTTTGTTAACGCCGCCAGTAGCTGGTGAGCTTTTACGGGCAGCCATGTTGGCTAGCTGCTTCTTTGGGTCCTTTCCATCAGTAGATTTACGAGCAGTTTGCTTCGTACGAGCCATAGCGAAACACCGAGAGACGATGACATTGCATCGAGTCCTTGGTATTGGTACTAACCATTACCTATGAGTCTAACTCACATATTTAAATATCACTCAGCTAAAACGCCTCTTTCTATTGTATTCTGAATATATTCCATTAAAAATGTAAATTGTTTCTCTATGAAATTTGTCTGTCTCACTGTCACCTTCACTCACATTTCAGACTTTATTATTTTTATTATTCCCTTGGGTTTCAATTGGAACATAGAACTTCAGTAGCACATCACCATGTCACTCTGTCCTCTGAGACTCTTTCCATCTGCTACCAAGATTTCCCATAATCTCTTATCTTCTCTTCACACAATTTCCTTCATGACACTCTCGAACCTAAACCCAACTCATCATTGTTTCCCGTTCGGGTTCCACTCGACGGTCTGGTGCACGATGTCACTCAAAAGATTTCTCAGTGTATCTCTGATCTGCCTTGCAGTCAGCGTTCAAAAAATCTCAATCCTCTTCCTTACTTATGCTCAGAATCCAGTGGATTCCCACACTCACTTCGTAACTAATGAAGTCCAGTTTTGTTTTTCCAACCCAGGCTGACTTTGACATCCTCATCCATGTAACCACCTGTAGTTGAAACGACATTGGCTAGTTGTTGAATAAGGCTGATAAAAGTTTGAGACAGTCCACAGTGTCGAAGCAGTTTTCCAAATCACTTCACCGTCGACACTATCGAAAGCCTTTTCAAATTCGATGAAGCTGAGATATAAATCTGACTTATAATTGTAAGGACTAATAAAACCAATAACCAAGATTAAATTACATGTGAGGGTAGAATTCGAACTCACGAACCATTGGTCAAAAGTCAAATGTTAAATCCAATCACTTATAGGCAATATTATTAAATTTAACACTGTAGCGACAAAAAAAAAGATAAGCACAGTAAAATACAGGATAACAAATCGCGATAATAATAGTAACAATAATAATTGATTTCTCACCTTCTTATTCGAGGTCACCTGTTCCATTTGTTCTAACATATCCAATAAGTCATTATCACTCATAAGACACTCGGCATTCTCAACCTTTTCTTCTCCCATCATATTTGTAATAAGTTCATCTAAAATGTATAACAATAGCATAAATCATTCATATAAACTGCTTATCTATTAAATATGTAGCACAACATCAACTATTCCGTGATTTCCACAGAACTGGTGAACATGGGAAAAGAAGTTACAAAATCCGGATCCCAAACCTTTGGTCACGTGTGCCTCAGAATCCAAGAAAAACCAACTGGTGTACGAAACTCCGTTTGTTTGATTAGCGACAACCACAACAAAGCATCTCCTAACACTGCTCCGTTGACTTGTGGATCAGACTTTAAGCCGAAGGTTCCTAAAGCAGTCCTTTCAGAAAACTACCTGGTTCAGTATGGACATCCGGGCAGTATCCCGAACCTCAGACAGATCTTCAAATAATAACGAATTTCTCAAGTTATTACAAATTATGTCATAAAAGTTAAACAAAGTTATATTTCAAAGTGTTCGTTTACAGAGATCTGATTGATTTTATGAGTGAACAAAAACTGTCTTCACAGTAAGAGAACCCCTGAAAACTAGCAGGAAACAGAGGAAAGCAGTTTTGTCTAACAGCCAACTAACCAACACAAGCAGTCGCGTTATAAATCGCGAATTCGTAGAAATTAGAATTCATGGGTGAATAGCTTTCATCCCAGTGGTTGAATGGTTAACGAGTTCACCTTGTCACCTTAAGGTCCTGAGTTCGACCCCCCCCCTTCCAAGCAATCATGGGTATGTTCTGTTGAAGAGTCCTGAATAGTGAGGACAAAACAGCTGTCCAATACTCCCTGCTGCTGATTCTCTAACCAAAGTTAGTCCACGGTCAAGATTTCAAAGGGTTTATCTATGTATAAATAGATATTAGAATTCAGAATAGCTGATTTATTTAAAGGATGTATTTACATCAAGAAGGAACCTTAGTTGAAGTCATCAAATGACTCTAGATTTAAACCTTCTGTAAGCAGGTCGACATTAAATCACTCACTCATTAACCTGAAGGCCTTAAGGATCGATGCTAAAGAAGGTTCGTAAGGTACAAACACTGCTCTAAACAGATGTAAACACTAATGAAACAGCTATCTCCTGTTCTTTGATTAACACTTCCAACAGTGTTCTATAATTGATTCTGACACACGACAGAACACAACTATTGCAATAATTTTACAATACATGCGTCAACTTTGTGTGCTAATAATTTACGTCGAATCCGAATTTTCAATGGATTTTTACAAGTCTTAGTAGATGAAATACAGTTGAAATCGATTCATTCATTTGTGCGTCGGTGGCACAGAGGTAGAATGCGGACGATATAGTCCTTCTAGGCGAGGACGCTGACAAAATGCAGAGTCTACTGAACACCTTGAGCAGCAATCTTCGTATGTTTGGCATGCGATTCGCCCCTGTAAAATGTAAGATGATGCTGCAGGATTGGACTTCACCGACCCCCAGTTTAGAAATAGGCAGTGAAGTGGTTGGTGGAGCGTGCTGGCACTTTACTTACTTGGGAAGTACCATCAGCCTGCTCCAACGGGTTGATCTCTGACGAAATCTCAGCACGGATACAGAGGGCTAATTTCGCATATGCCAGTTTACGCCGTCTCTGGCGTAGACGTGATATCCGGCCATTGACCAAAGGGCGTGTGTACTGCTCAACAGTCCACTCCGTTCTCCCTTATGGCTGTGAGACCTGGCCATTGAGAGCAGAAGACATGAAAAGATTAGCTGTCTTCGATCATAGGTGCCTGCGTTCTATCTCCCGTGTGAAGTGGTGAGCAATATTGAGGTTAGGCGTCGAATGCTAGGCAAGGCGGGGAAATCAGTCGACGAGACTGTGAAATTACATCGACTGAGATGGTTAGGACATGTGTTACGTATGCCTAGTCATCGCCTTCCTCGACAACAGGTAATGTTAGCTGATATAGGGTCAGGCTGGAAAAGAGCTAGAGGCAGTCAAACGAAAGCATGGCACCAGTCAATGAAATCTACAACAGTTAGTCTAGGCCATGTAGGAAGGTGTAGACTTCCTGACTGGTTGGGGTCCTCGGGACGGTAAAAACCAATGGTTGGAAACAATTGGTGACATGGCTCCAAATCGTTGTCGATGGCAGGCGCAGATGCATCCACTCCTTGTGACTTATGATTTCCAAGTAAGCTGTTTTGTTCTCCGTTATTACTATTCCTTTGTCTCACACCTCTGTTTACTGTCTATATTATGCATTTCTTCTACTTTCTTCTCTTGCTTTGTGTGCTACATGGAGTGTGGCGACTTGAACTGCCGCACATCTGTGCAAAGTTCTATGTCGAAAACCGACCGAGAATGATTGCCAACCACGTAGGTGGTTCGGGATTTTATCCCCGACTGACGCACTCCTTTATCTCACTAAGCCAGTAATAAGACTGGTAAACAGGGAAGGTTGGGCATGAAGCTAGCAACCCCACCTCGTAAAAATAAATACCACTGCTACCGAAACTTCAGAACTCTAGCTTGAAGCCCAGTATGTTCCACTGGGAATGTAAAGCAATAAAAAAAGGGTTTTTTTAAAGTTCACAGAACTTACCATCCGTGTTATTTTCCTTGGACTGAACAGGCTGAACACCTTCGTCTTGGGTAAAATTGTTATCACTGAAAAAAAAAGAAATGAAAATATAACGGGTTATAATATCCGGTGGAGGAGGGAACGCACACAAACAGTGATAGTGACAAGTTGTCTTCGAACACTTAAAGATCTCAGTAAAATGATCTAAAATATCAATGGTGAAGTTTATGCTCACAGTGTTAAATCCCAATCAAATTCAAGTGGATTTAAGATATTCCTACGTTGATCGACAGAAACTAATAACAATGGCCAAGGGTAACGAAAGTGGCTGTACGAATTTCTTCTAAACACACAAATTTGCCCTTCTTTAGGTGGATTCCTATGGCTTCAGCTATTGTATGTAGAAGGCGAACTCGTAAAAGGTATTAAGATTAATTGGAATAACTTTGAATGCTCACCACTGTTTACAAGGTATGCTAAAGCACAGCTACAAATGGAGTAATTAATGAGTTGGAATTGTACTGTTGGTATATGGATGATACATTTCTGATTATGAAAATAGAGAATGAAGCAACGATCATGCTCAACAAGAGTTCAATGATGCGCACATTCAGCAATATACTTTGCCATAAAGGACGAAGAAAGAAATGATAGTATCTCATTCCTAGACGTCTTCCTGACCAGGAAAGAGGATGGTACACTAAGAAGAAGTGTGTATAAGAAACCTACAACGATAGGTCAGTACACTAATTTTTTTTTGAGTTTTTCACTTTTGAAATAAAAGCGGAACTTGGTAAAGTGTTTGGTTCATAGAGCTAGAATAATCTCTTCAGACGACTGCTTCAATGAACAGCTTAAAATTACCAGATAAGTTCATTGAGAAAAATATGAATTTGACACCAAAACAAGCCAGTATGGCAACAACTTCACAAAAAAACATTGTTTATAAAACTGCATTTCCTCGTTGACAACATCAGTGAAAAAGTAACACAGAGCCTCCAGAATGCAGTTAAAAGAGCATTCAACATTGTCTCTTCACTACCCCCCCCCTATTTTACGTACGAGAAATACGGACAAACCACCTGATTTTGCTTTCTTTATGTGTATCTACCAGTTTGACTGCAGCTGCGGAGCCAGCTACACCTTACGTACAATTAGGTAGGTTCATCATCCTATTTCCGAAATTCATCTGAAATGGTTAAGCAAGGGACCAACTAGATTCATTCGTAGCTCTATTTTAGCACACCTTGTAGACAGTGAGCATAAAGTTGGTGTTAATACAGTAATTAAAGAAATTAATAAGTAAATAAGTAGACTGATCGTTTTCACAAAAATTTAGCTGCCTTCAACAATCTATGTTGCCATTCCACTCTTGACTATTTCCTTAAAAAAAAAACGAGTAGTATAGGATTTTGATTACGCAATCTTATTATCTCTTCTGTGTTTACCCTTTTATGTACAATGCAATAAATATAAATAAGATCTGTAGCTCAGGTAGACGTATTTGGTATTGCTGTATTACCTTAACTGATTCATTTATTTTTATATTTATTTATATATATTTATATATATATATATATATATATATGTATATATATATTTATTTATTTATATTTATATTTATATTTGAAAATCAATGAGATGCTCACTAGCGACTTGCCCTATTCAGGTGGGTAGTCACCTGGGGTTCTAGTGAGAAGTCGTGACCAGTAGGGTGCAGCAGGTCGGGCGTGAGGACAAATACTCGCCGAAGACATTGGCTAGGGGTCGCGCTATGTCGTGAATTGGCAGAAGTTAGAATTCATGGACCATTGGATCGGGTCCCAGTGGCTTAATGGTATACGAGCTCGCCTTGTAACCAGAAGGTCCTGGGTTCGAATCCCGGTGGGTGCGTACTGCTGAAGAGTCCCAAACTAGGACGAAACAGCTGTTCAGTACTCCCAGGTTTTCCAATGGTTCTCTAACTGATGTCAGCTCATGATGAAATCCTGTAATATTTATTATAGCTTGATTCCACACCGTATTTCGGTACAAGTATGGAATTTTTAGCATGTGATATTGGTAGCCCAAATTTTGCAGCCTGACCATTGAAATCAGGTGTGCGTCGGCAGGGGATCGAACTCTGGACCATGTGCATGGCCAGCTAGAGAGTCCTAACCGCTGTGCCACCGACGAAACTTTCATTACCCTTCTAGACAACATTGTCAGTGTTAGCTTTCCTGACAGAAGTCACCTTGAAGGACAACGAAAGTTGACAAATAAAATCATCCCCTTTCCTTAAAACACAATAACACCAAAAAAAAGTGAAATATAATCTTTGTATGTGAGACAGTCACTCGCTACTGCCTATCGCTCAAAAGGATATGTGTATTGCGCAGCAATTCGCCCCGTCCTTCTCTAAGGCTATGAGACATGACCAGTGAAAGCGGAAGATATGAAACGGGTTAGTTGTCTTTGACTGTAAGTGTCTGCATTCTATCTCCCGTGTTAAATGCTAACATATGATTGGTAATATTAAAACGAGGCCGAGTAATTCAATGCGATCATAAAGTTAAATAGACTGTGAGATGGTTAGGATGCATGTTAAGCATGCTAAATCACTGCCTTCGTCGTAGAGCAATGTTAGCTGATAGAAGAGTGGTCAAATCAAAACTTATCACCAGTCCATAAAGCCTTCTACGTTAGGTTTGAGTCCTGTAGTGAAGTGTACAAAGAATGGTTAGAACCCTCAAGTCATTGTTTCCAGTGTTTCCGGAAACTATTGGTGGTATGGCAAAGACGTATTCACCACGAGATCGATTAAATAGTCATTGTCCTCCCTTTCATATATCTCTGTTCATAACAGTTTCTACACCCTTCTTTTCACTCCCCATCCGACCACACATCCTTTATGTATGAGTTCCTAAAGAGTGGTGAATTGAAGTTTTATACATCACCAATTGGTAGAAGTTAGAATTCATGAGCTAGCCACTGAGCCGGCTCCCGTTGACTAACTCGTCTACAAGATTGCATTGCTTGCTTGTAAACCGGAATATCTTGCGTTCTAACCGCCTGTGGTGGATGACTCCCAAACTAGGACGAAAAAGGTACCCAGTACAGTACTCTGTGGTTTTCAACATATTGTTAGCCTTTAATAATACATAAATACACAAGTATACCTTTTCTAATGCGACTAAAGTTACCCAGTGAAGAAATTATTTTAGGAATTCAGTTATGCCTCACATCTACCTGTCTTTAAATTCCAAGGCAAAAAAATATATAGACAAACAGAAGCTGTAGCAATGGCATGAATCACCGATATCCCCTATCGTAGCAGATATCTTTATGGATGACAGCTCGGAAAATATGGCTCTAAATACATTTAATCCTACTCGAAAGATAATATGGTGGAGATATGTGGATGACACTTTCACACACACAGTGTTAAAAACAGAACATCTCTCTCTCTATCTAGATTCTTGACACATATAAACTCTGTCAATTGTTGGTATTAGATGGTTGGAGGCAATCGGCAGGAAGCCTTGGACCTAGGTTTCGTGCTAGTTGGCACTCATCAGCAAGGCGTATCTGCAACCTTGAAGGAACTGATGTCCCTTCTGAGATTCGAACCCGCGTCACCCAGTGCTGCAGTCAGAGACGTTACCACTGAGCTATTCAGGCTCGCGACTGACCTCCTGTAGGACTGTATTGGATATTTTTGATTGAACACTAGTCAGTAACTAGTGTAATGTGTCTAGTCCTATCTTCGGTGCAGACTGAATTCTATCAGTCATGTTTGCAATGTGGCCACCATGCTAGGTGGCTCGCCATTACGGTGCACTGTGAATTGTTGGTATTAGATGGTTGGAGGCAATCGGCAGGAAGCCTTGGACCTAGGTTTCGTGCTAGTTGGCACTCATCAGCAAGGCGTATCTGCAACCTTGAAGGAACTGATGTCCCTTCTGAGATTCGAACCCGCGTCACCCAGTGCTGCAGTCAGAGACGTTACCACTGAGCTATTCAGGCTCGCGACTGACCTCCTGTAGGACTGTATTGGATATTTTTGATTGAACACTAGTCAGTAACTAGTGTAATGTGTCTAGTCCTATCTTCGGTGCAGACTGAATTCTATCAGTCATGTTTGCAATGTGGCCACCATGCTAGGTGGCTCGCCATTACGGTGCACTGTGAATTGTTGGTATTAGATGGTTGGAGGCAATCGGCAGGAAGCCTTGGACCTAGGTTTCGTGCTAGTTGGCACTCATCAGCAAGGCGTATCTGCAACCTTGAAGGAACTGATGTCCCTTCTGAGATTCGAACCCGCGTCACCCAGTGCTGCAGTCAGAGACGTTACCACTGAGCTATTCAGGCTCGCGACTGACCTCCTGTAGGACTGTATTGGATATTTTTGATTGAACACTAGTCAGTAACTAGTGTAATGTGTCTAGTCCTATCTTCGGTGCAGACTGAATTCTATCAGTCATGTTTGCAATGTGGCCACCATGCTAGGTGGCTCGCCATTACGGTGCACTGTGAATTGTTGGTATTAGATGGTTGAAGGCAATCGGCAGGAAGCCTTGGACCTAGGTTTCACAGTGCACCGTAATGGCGAGCCACCTAGCATGGTGGCCACATTGCAAACATGACTGATAGAATTCAGTCTGCACCGAAGATAGGACTAGACACATTACACTAGTTACTGACTAGTGTTCAATCAAAAATATCCAATACAGTCCTACAGGAGGTCAGTCGCGAGCCTGAATAGCTCAGTGGTAACGTCTCTGACTGCAGCACTGGGTGACGCGGGTTCGAATCTCAGAAGGGACATCAGTTCCTTCAAGGTTGCAGATACGCCTTGCTGATGAGTGCCAACTAGCACGAAACCTAGGTCCAAGGCTTCCTGCCGATTGCCTCCAACCATCTAATACCAACAATTCACAGTGCACCGTAATGGCGAGCCACCTAGCATGGTGGCCACATTGCAAACATGACTGATAGAATTCAGTGTGCACCGAAGATAGGACTAGACACATTACACTAGTTACTGACTAGTGTTCAATCAAAAATATCCAATACATTCCTACAGGAGGTCAGTCGCGAGCCTGAA